TTAATTTATGATTTTTGGAAAATATTATTGATTGTACATACTTCTGTCTGTTTTCGTCAATATACTAACTATCACATATTTTAGGTTATGCTCCTCCGGGATTCAGATTCATTCTTATCGCAATAAGTGTATCAGCTGCCATTGTATTGTGATTTGTAGATTGGTCAAAACAAAAAACTCTAATACAACCAGGGTGTAATATCTCAAATATTAGAATTGCTTGACGTATAAGCTATTTTTGTTAATGAAAAAATTAATTTATTCTTATATAATAAATCTGGTATTAGATTATGTACCTGATTTAGCATATGTTCTGATTTCCAATATCTATCTGTTTGTATAGAATGAAAAACTAAAGCTTCTTTATTTTCAATATGTGGATTTGCTTGCAATTGTTCATCAGACTATCGTAATAATCCATGATAAGAACAAATGAAGGCTGAAACCATGATAGACTGTCCTTGGTATTTCAAACATAGAATGTCTTTATCATCTCTCATCCAGATTCTTTATTACACATCATTTGCGTAAAAATAGCATTCGTTATGCATAAAGATGGTATAGCAATTGATTTCAAATTTACAAAATGTTGCAACATATGTTGCAACATTATAAGTTGCAACATATATAGGTTAAAACTAATTGCAACGTAAGTTGCAACATTAAAAGTTGTAACATATTAATTACAGTTCCCATCTTTAGTCATGCATTACTTGAACTATTTCTTTTTCTTCCAGATTAAGATGAGGTTCTATAATAATATCCATTAAATCAACATCAAAAACTTTCATTAATTTCTGATATTCAAACATCTGTTTCAACTATTCATTTCTATACATCACTACATCTGACGCTCATGCTTACCATAATATATTTCCTTCTTTCTTTTATCATATTTGTATTCTCACATATACATATAGTTTTGAAGTTTTCTCAGAAATCATTTTTTTCTTAATATGGCCTGTTAATTTTGGAAATACTGTTCCTTCAATATATATTTTTAGGTTTCTAGGGATATGTATTTCTGGATTTTGCTGTCTTAGCCATACTTGACAGTCTTCCTTAAAGTCTTCATCTTTTAGCAAACTTTCCAGTTTTATATGTCTTCCTTGACAATAAATAAGAAATTCTCCCGTCTTTATAAAATGAGCTTCCCATTTTTATATGTATCTCGCAATATAATCACTTTTATTTCACATGGTTTGTATAATTTGATTACTAGCATCCATCTTACCTCAACCATCCAATAATAACTGTATATATCTTTGTATACTTAGATAACGCAAATAATCATAAGTATAAACATTTTTATTCATTTTTGCAGATTTCGTTATTAAGCATTACTGATTTATTTCATTTAAGCGTACTTATAGATTTCTTATAATCTCTTCAGTCTCTTTGGTAACTAAAGGAAGATTTTGAAAAGATGAAGATAAAGATGGAATTTTTGGTTGTAATGATTGCAATAATTCTGGTAAAATTATGTTAGTTGATGCATTCACACTTAAAAAGAATGTATCAAGAGTGATTATTCCCTTTACATCATTTTTTAATTCTTTCTTCTTTTTTTTTCTTTCTCCAAAATGTAGTTCTTGAAGTTCTGTTATATGCTACTCTGATACTACTTGCAGTATTTTCATGCTAATGAAAGCTTTAATGATAAGTCACCTTTCTACTTTCTCAAACTCATTTAAATCTTCTTGCATCTAATCATTATCTTCATCTCCTATCTAATCTTCAATAACTTCATTTTCTATTCATTCAGTTTCTGCTTGACTCTTAGATATATAATGTCCTTTTTTTCTTGGTATTTTACTAACCTGCTGTTGCCTTTTTATTTTACGTGACATTTTACAAGTGATCTAAAATCAAATTTTTCTCATATGCATGTGATAACCTAAGAAATTTCCCATAATTACTCTTCTTATGTACTTGCTTTTTATAGTTTCCATAATCACTCGCTTTCTCGTGAAAGATTAGTAATTATAATTCAGGCTGGTATTAAATCTTCATAATTTTAGCCAAAATTACAAAAAATATTGGCTAATAAAATTTCACGTGATATGATTTGTTTCAAATTTGGGGCTATCATATAAAAGTTATCTAACTTTAAATGCTTTCAACTTTTTTTGTAGATACTTTTTTGAAAAACTGATTGGTAATTTAATAGTATTTATCTTAAACAATAAAAATACTGGTTTATTTTTTTTAAATTTTATTTTAAAAGTTTTTTAAATATTACATTTTTATTATTTAGTATAGATTTCCAGCACTATATTAAATTATTTATTTATTTATTAAATATTATTTATTATTAGTTATATATAACTTGCATATTAAATTATTTAATAGATTACAAATAGATCTAATCCATTAGATCATTTAGCCATTGAAGTTTAATGGATCTGACCTATTTCCAACCCTGACTCAGCATATTATATAGGATAACCTTAGTGAAAAAAAATAAAAACTATAATAAAGATCAGTAGGATATCACATGTAATATAAATTATATTTACATGTGGTATCCCACTTGTCTTAGATTATAGTATCATATATGATCTGAATAACATATATAATCTAAATGACATATATGATTTAAATAATACATGTAATCTGAATAGAGTTCTGAATCAGATCAAGTCAACCTGTGATCTGACCTGACCTGACCTGCAAATTTACAGGTTAACATCAGGTCAGGTCAAGCTTATAATCTAACCTGATAAAATTCAGATCAACGAATCAAATTAAACAAAATAAAATATTTAAAAAAAATTTTTTTTTGATTTATTTTTTTTGAAAACATCTTTAATTATAGGATCGGCGTTTCTGGTTTAGTGGTTAAACTGCAAGTCTCCTATTAAGCTAAAGTTTCATTACACAGCAATAGGCCATCAGTTCAGATATCAGCCGATACATAAAATTAGATGATTTTTATAAGAATTTCATATATATTGAATACGATAGGCGTATGTACTAACATGCGTACAAATCTGGTTGATTGATCTATCGATCAATGTTGATCATGCCTAAATACTGCATGGCGTTAGAACAAGTAGATGCAAATGAAGCTAGGGATCGACAGAAACTTGACCTTCACTGATTGGTCTGTAATGGATACAGTCTTACGTCTCACACGGCAGAGGCCTTTATTTCCATATATGATCATAAGATTGTATATAAATTAAGGAAGTGATTAACCAGAATTTAGTAGATTATATCAACGGTGATAATAGACTGCATTGCACACCTACAGTACCGTCTAATCGAGCTATCACTAGGGTTAGAGGTCAGGTTCAATTCCTGAGTTGTTTGACGTTATGGGTATCAAAGTCACCTGGTTGATGTGGTCTATATGCACAACTGGAGATCACCATTTGGGCAAATCTTGTGGTACTATCCCATGAACCCTGCGGCTCTCTATATAGTAGTGATAAAGCCAAACCAAGTAATTGGATCTTGGTTATAGTTCACTAGACCGTTGGTAAAATTAGTGATGATGCTCACTATGACTGAGATGATCTCTCTATCCAAATTTGACAGTACCTTTGATACTAAGTACCTAATACTGGATCACAATAAGAGGTTTGAGTTGCCAGGTTAGAATGTCATACTTAGATGGGAACATCAAGGGGGGTATGCACAACATGGTAGATAACTTGAAAAATAGGAAAATATCTGAGATTGCTTAGTCCCGCACTTTACCATTAATGGTGCCTAGTTTCAACTTTGTTGACTAAGGTTTAAGTACAATGGGATCATCAGTCGGTGTCGTAGCACCTTAAAAAAAAAAAAAAAAAAAAAAGTGGTACAATAATTATGGAAGTCACTATATATAAACATTTATAGTTCGATTAAAAAGAGTAAGATGCGTGTTATAAAGCCAAATAAATATGCTTCGATTCCGATCTTTTACGAATAGCCTCAATGCTGACCAAAGTTATGCCTATTTTATGGACTCGCCGACGTTGGTTAAGAATTTATATTTCTCAATCTATTTTATTAAATTTACATAGAAATTAATGACGCTTTAATAATTTGATTGTCTTTAGATGAATCAAAAAATTTTTAGTAATAAAAAATTCACTTTTGGAATATGACTTGCTTGTTATTTTACAAGATAATATCGGATGCCATTTTCAGAAATTTTACAACTATAAAATAATAATAATAATAATAATAATAAAGATAATAACTTGATATGATTTAACATACTAAATTATCAAGCGTTAATTAGAATTAGAAAGAGTGAAATTTGAAATTCACAAAACATTATGATATTTAATTCGCTAATTTTTTTGGTAACTTCAAGAGGATTCTTGATTCATGTTTAAAAATCGTCATGTGATAATAGAAAAATAGTTTACTCTCCCAAATACTGTATCTTCAAACCTGGTCCATCAGAGAGCTTCAGATGCTTCAGCTATAATGTCAATTTAATAAGAACAACACGTGAAAATTTTTTATTATAAAGAATAAAAATGAAAATTCTCCACGATAGATGTTATATCTCATCAGATGATTTTTAGAAAGAATTAGCAAGATGAATCAGTTAATCCAAGAAATAATAATTTAAGAAGAGAATCAATACTCATCAAGTCGTAAATATTGAGTGAGTGTTTTCCGTCCAAATTTTTCGTCTAGAGATTTATCATACCCAACAAAAGCATGTAATCTCATTTGAAATTAAGAAATATTTATCAAAGAAAAAAAGGATTTGTAATTTATTTCAATCCTTTTTTCCAAACTTCGAGTAATATGAACTCCAAAATCTCGATCATAAGAAATTAAACAACAGGTTTACTTACTATATTATAAATTAATAAATTCTATAAGGCAAAATACATTACGTTCTTTTTTTTTTTTTAAAAAAAAAAAATTACATTTTTAAATCTATTTTTTAATGATTAATATCCTTAATTAATTTTTTTATTATGTAAACGATTAATTGTATAAAAAATTTCTACCGTCTATATTTAAAAAAATATTTAATAAATAAATTATCCCAACGACCATTCATTAGCCAACTTGCTGAATGTAATAAATGCATCCTTAAATAAGAATGAAAATAAAATTTAGATCGAGTCATTTTTTTTTAAAAAAATAAAAAAAAAATAATGTATAAATAAAAACCTCTTTTGTGCAATCTGGTATTTGTTTATCAAATACAGGATAATTCATTAAAACCGTAGTGTGTAATTGTTTTGAATGGAAAGCCGACAATTTCCCATAACCCCCAGGAGAAATCACCTGCAAAACAAATAATCTTAATAAATTAAAAAAGAACTTTTATCAAAAAATAAAAAAAATATTATATATACCCGATAATCTGTTTTACTCAAAATCCAATTTTCGATAATAGCGTTATTTACATCATCAATGTTATCGTGATGACCATGATGAGATTTGATAGGCAAACCAGAAATGATAACATGCTCCAATTTCTGTACAGCCTCGTCCCTTAAAGCTACGGAATCAGTAATAAGGAAATAGATAACTTTCTGATCCGGTGCAGCATATGTTCGTGTAAGCTGATCTGCACAACGGAAAAAATACTCGTAATCTTGCAACGCATTCGTATCTTCTCTCGCCCTTATTTGAATTCCCACGGAATAGATATTATGAATTGAAAATAATGAGGTATATTTTGTGATGAATGACATTGCGGGAGGAGTTGGACGGAATAAATAATCAAAAATACATCCGAACGCCGTGTGCGGTCTTAATCCAATATCTTTTAGAGGTTGAGCATAATATTTTGAATCAAAGGTCCTAATAATCATTCCTCGATTTGTATAAAATTTAATAAAAGGATCTGGATATTTAGTTGTCCAATTGGAAAGTAAAAAGTGATTATCTAGATGTTGAGTATCAAAGTCAATGACACTAATCTCAATAGTCTTCAAGTCTTTGATAACCGATTCTGGACTTAAAGAATCAAAACTCCAGTCAATATTGGGAGAATCAAAAATTTTATCAAGAGGAAGTGGTGTTTGCCAATCCGCAAGATAAGCTCGATTTGTGAGTAAAGCGAATAAAAACGTCGAAGTCATGCCAAGTATACTTAAAATTAAAATTATGTCAGTTTAATTGATGCATATAAAAAAATTTTTTTTTCCAAAAGAATACTTTTAATATAATACCGGTCAGCTAAACCACCACAATTCGAACTGGCTTCGCAAATATAGGCAACATATCTTTGATCTTCTTTTCCAGCCAAAATATCTTCATTTAATTTAGCATAATCCTTTTGCCATGTTCCACATGATGAATCAAGACTTTCATCAGTATTCATCTCAGTTAATTGTGTTGTAGAAATTTCATTTCGTTCTTCTTCAGTAAGTGAAACAAGGACATCATCATACGTGAAATGAGGATTTGGGACTTGATAAGTATACATTGCATAATCAACCGTGCCGTCACTTGATCCCGATCCACCCGACTTATAATTCCTAAGTTTATTTTTGTTAAGTTTATTAGGTAAGCCAGTTGCATTTAACTTATCCACTGTTACTAAATTTTTCGGAACATTATTATTACTCGTTACATCATTTGATTCGCTGTTATTAACAAGAATTTCATCAGAATGTCCAAAATTTGTATTATTCTCATCAACATCATCAGTAATCGGATTAGGTACAATCTTAATATCTTCAAGTATACTTTCTTCCTGTTTTGGCTGATTTGTTTCTTCGGTTATTGGAGCAACAGCTTCCGGTTTAATATCATTAATCACCTTATCAGCCAAAGGTTTGTCTGTAGCCAATTCATTTGATTCTTGATGAACAACATTTTTAGTTTCTTCCACATCACCATAATTGTCTTGAACGGCCAAATTACTGTTTTCATCATCATCATCTAATAAAATTTCTGCATAAGGTTCATCCCAAACTTCAGGATTTTCATTAACACCAGATTTATCAACAATATAATCATCATCATCATCAATGATGGCATTAGAACCCACGATATCTATCTCTTGATGCACATTTGGTTCTTTTTTGATTGCATAATCTAAATCATCAAAGGGAGGACCTATTCCGCTTAAACTTCCAAGAAAGAATATGAGAGCGCAAAAAAATATTAATGTTGATAATATATTTTTTAATTCCAAATGTAATATACTATCAAAACATTTTTTTGGTTTGGTCGGATCAAATGGTTTTACTTTTGGAGTGGGAGGTTGGTTTGGTAATATTTTATCTTTATCTTCAATTATTGGGGAGAGAATGGGTTTACCTAATTTTTGTATGGAATCATAATTATTTGAAATATTATTAATATTATTGCTACTATTTACTCGTTGGTTGGGTACCGCTGAGAGATTCTCGGAAGAATTATTGCTTCCTGCACTTATACTCATGGCACGACGATGTGGTTGTTGTCTTGATGAAGCCATCTTTTCAATAATTAATAATAATTACAAATCTAATAAATGCGCAAAGTTATCTCAATAATAAATGAGGTAGGTCTTGGTTTAATTAATTAATATTTAATAGATCTAAGCGAAATTATGAAAAAAGAGAGGGTGTTGAAAAAAAAAAAAAAAATTCTGTTAGGCAAAAAAACTTAAATTAATTAGCATACTAAATTGAGAAACGATCTGTTTTACGTGATTAACATGGTGTAACATTATGTTTTGGCCGAAAATAACTTGGCAAAAGACAATCTGTGACACAATTTTTTTAATTGTTTATGCAAGTATAATTGGAATTTTTTGAAATTGCTAAACAAGTTTTGGAACTAGTTTTTTTTTTTTTTTTAGCACCAGCATCCAATATTATTTATTTATTTCGAAATACACGATTTTTTAATTGATTTGTTTTTTGCCTTATTAATAAAATCTTTTTGTGAAATCAAATTATATGATTTTCACCAAAAAAATACTTTTATGTGGGAAATGTCTTAAGTGAAAATTATTAAAAAATTTTGTAAAATTTAATATATATATATCGCAGACGCGATGATTTTTATTATAATGATAATTCAATTATCATGTATTAAGTTTTTTATTAATAAAAATACAACTATTTATGTGATGAATCCGATCACACGAGAAAAAAAAAAGCTAAATAAAGCTTTACTTTGAGTCCTTTATCTACACACAGAATGCATTTTTTTTTCTATCCCAACTCTAACAGATTAATTTATGAATTGTTATAAATATGATTTTATAGTAATAGTATAAATAGGAGAATTAATTTGTTTGACTATTAGGCTTTGCATTATTTAGTCATAAGAAAGCGCTTATAACATATAAGCGGCCATGCACATGCTTGAGAATATGACTCCGGCAGTGACAGCATAAGCAGAAGTATAGGTTTGAGCAGCGGCAGATGCGGGGGCTTTTCCATCAGCGGGGGCTTTTCCGTCAGCGGGTGCTTTTCCGTCAGCTGGTGCAGTTTTGTTATCAGCGGCACCAATGAGTATAGTTCCGACCATACCAGCACCGCAATGTCCGCCAACACCGCAGTAGTACCATTTCTTTCCAGATGCTTCTTTAATATCAAGAACCCATTCTTTAGGTGCTTCATATGCTTCAGTAGTGAAAGCATCGGTAGATACCAATGTTTTACAAGATCCCTTTGCATCAGATTCGATGACGCTGTGTTTGCCACTAGTCCAAACGAATTTGACCTATAATTATCGAAATTAGGAAAGGTGGTGAATAAAATGATAATTTGACAAACAATTAATAGCAAAGGAGGTATCAAAGATTGTTATACATACGGTATCACCCATGGCGGCGTTTACGACATCAGGTGAGAATAAATTTTTTCCTTCCGGGTAACCAACTTTAACAACGTGTTCCGCAGCTTGAGAACAGACAATGAGGCCAGCAAAAAATAAAAAGACGGCGATGAATTTGTTCATTTTTATGTTTTTGTTTTGTGAAAAGAAAAAAAAAGTAGGTTTATTTTTGATTAAAGATGAGAAAATTTTTATATTTTGTTTTTTTTTTTTGTTTTGTGTGAGTAGGATTTGTTGAGATTGGGAGCATGTTAAAACCAGTGTATTTATAAGTAATTTTTTCTTTCTCAACAATACAGAAAAAGAACTATCTTTCTTTGACTGTTGTGGTAAGTAAAAATATGTATATAAAAATATTAATTTCCTTTGTACATTTAAAATACTCGAAACGGTATGTTTGTCAGAGGCTGAAACCATAAACACAATTATTTTTAATTTGCAATTTACACAAATAAATTGTGTGGTACAAAGAAGAAATTCCTGTTGTGAGTATTGGGAGATACAAGAATTTTCTGTCAATTATTTTGTCCTAAAAAGCAAAAGAAGTCCATCAGCCCTTATTAGGAAAATGAATTAAAATTGGATGATGATCTTCAGTCAATTCGGTTTAGTTCGGGCGAGGAAAAAGAAGGAAAAAAAGTGGAATGCATGAAAACCCGAAAAGAAAATGAGATTTATACTATATAGAATGTTAAGAGAACTACTAAATCACGTTAATGCTGAGAGAACGCGTATACTTCATTACCGTTTCTCCCGAGTTTCCGTTTTTTGGGGGAGGGGTGAGGAGAGACAACATTTGTGAACGTGAATAATTTTGCGAAACATTAACTATTATTTGTTTAATCAAATGATTTATTAAAAAAGTCAATCAGTGAAAAAATAAATTGTAATATGAAATTGTTACATTAAATTTATTAAAGAAAATTACTTTGTATTTTGTACAATATATCAAAATTCCTTTATGACCAGAAAAAAATGTTTAAAACAAAGGCTGACGGCGGCAAATCGGATTGCATCGGAAGTTGTCGAGATGGAAATCCTTAAAAACCTTTTATACCGGACCGTTTAATGCTGGTCGTGAATTCTCTTCTCTTGACGGCGGATTGGTCGCAGATTGGACTTTGTTATAATCGTCGTTAGACATTCATTTTTTTTTTATTTTTTATATTTTTTTCGGCGAATTAATAGGATCGGCAGATTTATCTCAAGAATTTCCGGATTGAATAACCTGACACAAATTTAAAAAATGACCCGAAAAAGAAATAATTAATATGTAAATATAAATAAAATTTAATTTGCGTAAGATTAAGATGTGTATCAGACAAAATTTAGACCTCCTTAGCGGTATTTCGGAAATTATGGTAATTGTCAAACCAACTTCAACTATGGTGGTACAAAGACGACAAAGGTCGTCAATAGAACGAAAGTAGATAGAACTTTATTCATTATTGTTTTATGATTGTTGTTTTATGATATTAAAAACAATTGTCGTTGTTCAGTATCCTTGTGGACACTCCGCAAGCGTTTTATAGATCTTGACGGTTCGTTTTCTTCAATTTCCATTCAAACATTGAAACAATAAAAGGAGAAGTCAATCGAACTGCCAAAAAGAGAAATGTGATGATTTCCTGATTTGGAGATAAATTTTTTTTTGTAATACATTTTTTGATAAGCATTTCTACTATAAAGGGACAATCAATCTTTTGTGAACTACCTCATTTTAGGACTTTGATAAATTGATTCAATTCAATTCCCAATGGCAAAAATCTCTTTTTATCACACACCGTATAACAAATGACTAATTTCTTTGTTTTAAAATTTGAAATCGCTAAATCGGTAACAAGTTTTTTTTGAAAATATTGGAAATAATAGATTCTTGTCACACAGTTCGTTAAATGCCGAATTTTATTTGTGCGATAAGCAAAAATGTCTCAATAAATAAAAATTATTTTTTTTTTGAGTTTGATTCTGTGTATGCTGTGTATGAGTGTTTATGGGGTTGTTTTACAAGTTCGAGAATTAATAATTTATTTACATTATATCTTTATTGACACGAATTAGATGAACGGCATTTCCAACCTAAAGTTAGTGTTATTATTATCAAAATTTATTTACTTTGCCTTTGATTGAGCATAACTTTTCAAGTATTTTAATTGACGTGCGTTCTTCTTAAATCGAAAATGGGTTGGTGAATACTTCTTAATGTTTTACAGCATATTTTTTTTTTCATGCACCAACCGTTATAAATCATTAATATTATTTGCTTGTACAAAAATGAGAGCTAATCGTCGGGATTCCTCGGAGCTACATGATAAAAATGGTAATTTGAGATATCTTTTTAATTATTAAGATAAAAATTCAAGAACGTTCCTTGCACATTGAATCCTTGAAGAAAAAATGGATTTGAACTACCTCATTACAACAATAGTTTGGTCATCATACAGTCTTGACCCCGGATTCGTGCGTGATGTGCGTGATACAACTAACCACGTTAATTCATTAAAAAGAAATTTCATTAAAAATACAAAACGTTCCCTATGATTATCAAAATAATCAAAAAATAATTTGCTATTGTAACAATCATGAAACTATTATAAAAATTTAAAATCATTATCTTGTTCTCTCCATTACTATTTTGTGTTTAAAAAAAAAAAAAAATTGTTAAGTATGATTTTGAACTTTGTTCTTGAACCTGTTGCATTGAACCATTGGTTGTATGTTGTTGATCTGCTTTATGTAATGTAACCTTTATTTAATCAACATTCCATTTTTAGGCTTCCATCCATGCAGAGGAACTATTTGAGGCTTCACACGCAACCCTTGAAACAAGGAAAGTTTTGAGTATCTTCCATTTGGTTCATCTAATAATTATAAAGAACTTATGAACTTTTAAATGATAGAAACCAAGATAGGCATACACTTTTTATTGTGCATCATTGATGTTGCTTCAGATAAGAGTTGTTTGGTATACAAGAATTTTTTTTTTATTTTCTAATTTCCAATCCCCCCCCCCCCCCCAGCTATTTGGAAAGTTGAAATTGGAGACATATGGATTATGCCAACATTTCAACGTACTTAAGCTAATACCGAAACCAACTTTCTTTTACTGTAATATGCGTTCGAATCCCTTCAATATATTAGAGTTGCCAGGAATGTCAATTCACGTAGAACCGAGGGTTTAGGTATGAAGGTACATTGAGAAATCATATGTTGATTAAGAAATTTGTTAATGGGATTGAAATCGTATTTAAACGCGACTCGGATTTTTGTCAATTATTGATAGCGAATGAAATGGCGTAAAGAAAGATTTAAAATGATTTATTTCGTTTCGTTCGTTCTAACGATATTACGGATCGGCATAAAGTTGTAACATGTGAAAGTTTCTTACCTAACAAAAACAAACGTTGTGATCACATTACACTGCGGACCACATACACTCAGAATATAGATTTTGCATAATGGAAAGAATTGCTACAAAGTTCTAATCTTAAAGTTGTAAATTCCATCTTTCGTGTTGAAATCAACCCAACAGCATCCGATACTTGCTAAACTCACTTTTACAATCATGTCGAAAGGTTGCGTGAGGTTCAGAGCATATAATTAATACATTGGGGGAATGCAGGCTTTCGATATGGGCTTTCCTTGGTTCAAGAATATGTAAAGTCCCTTGCACTCATTTAACTTCTGCGCGTCTCCGCCAGCGTATTAAGCTCAAAGGCAATCAATATATTGTGATCCCAAATATCATTCTATTGCCATCTTTTTATTTATTTTGTAATAAAATCAATTTTTTTTATTCGGATAGAAGATGTAGTCTTTTAACAAAACGTTCTAGCGATTTTTTTAAAAGCGATTTGAATCAAAACTGGAGAAATAAAAGAAATAAACAATTTTACAATTACAGATGGCGAATGAAAATTGTTAATAATTATTTAGTATTAAAAATTAAAAGGTGTTCATTTTTATAGTAACAAGTAACATTAACTACAAATAATAGCACTATGCATTTTTTAATGCAAGTAATTATATTCGATAAAAAGTTAATAAAAAGAGGGAAACATGAGAAAATTAAATAATACATTTATTACATTCTGCATAATCCAATAACGTATTTAGGATTCTAACTCTTAAAATGTTATCAAGAAAAATAAATGATTTTTTTCTTTTTACTTGCAATTTTCACAAAAAATTGTATCATGTTTCTTGAACCAAAAGAATGAAAATTATTTTCATATCAAAAAAAATTTACCTTAAGAAAAATTAAGAAAATTAAAGATAAATATAATGTGTAATAATTGGAATGATAAAAATTTATTCCAGTGCATTTGACATATCATATGTCCGAATTCAATAATGATAACCTAATAATGAACAATGTACAATATAGAAATCTTAAATGTGCAAAACATTATTTAAATTAATTTGTATCTCAATCGATCCGAATATTGGCTTGGCACGTTTACTTGCTCAGCCATTGCAGTAAATATGAGCCTCATTAATTTATATCTTATATTTAAAGATTTTGATGAATCTTTATAAAAATAAGCGAGAATTAATAGGTCAATCTGACACGAACTCAAAATATAAATAATACAAGTCGCGTTTTTTTTTAGAAATGTTAATTTAATTTAGCTAATTATCTTTGGTAATAAACGAATGAAAGGATGACAAGTAACCGATCTTCAACATCCAAATTTAGTAATTAAACATTATAAAATACTGCTATAATTTTTTTATTTTATTTTATTTTTTTTGCCTCGACATTCTTTCTCGCTTCCTCTCCCATTTCGGGAATCTAAAAAGTAATTTGCTTTTTATTCTTACACAAGATGTCAGGTAAATCAGGTTAGCACGTGAGAGTATTTTGATCTATCCAAAAAAAGGATTATTCCGTATTTTATAAATCATTGATAAAAATTCTGCGAAATAACATTCTTCCCCGACTCATTCATTTTTAATATATGATCCTTTTCAAATGAAGCTAATAGAGACTCAAACCCGACGGGCTTTCATTTAGACATAGAAGAAGATTATCTTATACGACGTGTTTCACATGAACGGAGTAATTTTGAAACCACAACCACAAATTCTATCCCAATTCCAAGTAACATTAATTCTAAAAT